TTACTAATTAAATTTATTATCTCTTTTGGGATTACAAGAATTTCACATTTTTCGTTTTATTATCTCTTTTAGGAATATAACTTATTATCTCTTTTGGGTTTACTCAGTTTATTATCTCTTATGGCCTCTAGCCAAAAAGCTAGCTTGGGTTCAAAGGACAATACCACTTGACTTTCTCCTTTTTTTATAAAAATCTCTCAGCATGAGAGATCTATCATGTAGAAAGGGCTAATTTATACTTCCTGTGTGTAATTTCGTAAAAGAACTGATTATGATGTGACTGTACAAAGGTGAAAGTGAGTAGAAGCAGTGAATTGTATTCAGAGAGAGGGAGAGAGATAAAGAGTTCATAAAGAGTTCCGAGAAAATGTACACTGAAATAGCTAGAGAAGCAGTGAAGCGAGACAAGGGGTCATGAAGAGAAGTATGGAGAAGATGATCCATAAGAGAGATCAATAGATATACGCAATGAGATGAATCAATGAAGAAGAGAAGAAAGAGAAAAGTATGAGAAGATACTGAAAGAATGGTATTAGAGCACTAGCAAATAAGGAGATATCTCTGTCCACATAGGATATCCCATATGCAGGCATTGCCACACATTTGACATGGAAAGAGAAGGAAAAATAGACACACAGCAAATAAGGATCTTTCTGTTCTCTTTCTCTCTTTCACTGTGTGAAGAACGTGGAAAAATCAGTTCAGCGTTGTTTTCATTATTCTTGCAACGCTTTTTTAAACAATGCGCCGAAGAAGTTTGAAAGCCAAGTTATAAATGTGATTCTGCTTGATTCTTTTCTTATTTAGATGGATGAGACTTCGAGTTACGTTTCTCACTCGCCAATTACAGTGACTTTTCTGCGACAGGAAATTTAATGAAAACGCAAATTAAAGTCAGTTAGATCTAGGCTCCATCGTCTCCGTTGTCATCACCACAGTCACTTTAATCTATTTTAGCAGAGATAGGACGCTGCACTGCAGAACAGATATGTAACATAAAAGAAAAGAAATATATGCTTAGATACGACAGATAGATATGGATATGCTTAGATACGAAAAGGCACATCTTTTTCTTCCTTTCTGTCATATCGTCGAGATATCTTTCTAATTCTTTCGTTTGTCGTAGACTACTAGCAGTTCTCTACTGAATGTAAAGTTTATATTAGACTACAATTAAATACAATGTCTATACCCAGTTTTACACAGGGATTCAGAATATCACGTCAAAAAATTCTAGAATGTCATATTACCGAGATAGACGATGTTTTTTGTGCCTGGATGAATTTTTTACTTTCGAGTAACACTCAATGTTCGGCAGTTCTTTCAGCGAAAAAATGCTCAAATCGAAAAAATATTATTAGATTCGGACTCAGCGCATCAAGGCGGTTCAGAATATGTAACTTTAAAAGAAAAATAAATTTCACTCCGATTTCGAATTAGCGGCGCCTTAGGATTGCTGTAGAAACTTAAAACAGTTCTTCCTTTCTTTCTTTAGAAGGACATCAAAGAGTTTATTATAGTGGGAAAAATAAAAGACATTTTTTAGCATCGATTTATATAATTTCTACTAATCGTCGTTTAATCTTTTTTAAATCATGTTTTCTTGGCTCCGTACACGATAGTAGGATGCTCACATCTTGTGCTATCGGTCCAAATCAACCCTGCTCGATCCCTCTGCACACAAAAATCTTGGTAGACAAAGATTTTACAAACGGCGGTATTTTATTAACACCTGTGCGTCGGAATGAACTTAGACATTTCGCCCAAGCATCAAAAGAGCTTTTTAATTACCATTTATCTAGTAAACGAATTTTTATCGAACATATAACTAAAGTAATGAAAGTTTTTGATATCGTTCATGTTGTGTATAAACACAGTCATGCCTTATGACAAGCGGTCAGTCTTTGTACAGCCTACTTAGCTAATGTAAGGGCAAATCTCTTCTTCACTTAAATTTTCAAATTACGTTTAAAACTGTTGTGTTTATTGTTATTCGTGAATAAATAGACTATAAAAGCATGTGTAAATTTAATATAAAGAGAGAGCAAAGAATAGAATTATTTCCTCTGAACGCAGAAAAGAACAAGAACAGAACGAAACAAACATTTGACACATTCGTTTAGGAATATACTGCATGTACGAGAAAAGATATCTTATTTGCTAGTTCTCTATTATTCTTCACATATTATTTCACTAGCTGCTGCTCAAACGGAGTAAAAGTTTTGTATTATTATCACCACACCGTTGGTTAGTGTTTTGGACAGCTCAGATTTTCTCGGAGAATGGCCATCGACATTTGACGTTTTTGGTATGTTTATCTTCGTAGCATAGAATGAGTATTGTAACAATATAATCATCCAGGCGCGACTGTCATATTAGTTAAACACAAAAGCGTGTAGTTGCACTGAATTTGCATCATATCTCTTTACAATGTAAGTAAACGAAAGAAAAAAATGTGCTTTCAACACTCCGCTGATTGAGTAACGGTCTGTATTATAAAGAAAATATTAGGCACGTTTTCAGCTTCATATAAAACAGTCATAAACGTGACACTACACCAGCCGACGCTTTTGTGAACATGTATTATTCCTAAACCGTGATCTACAGTGCTCTTATAATGGTCAAATAATGAACTGTGTGCCGAGACGTAGGAGAGGTATGGCATTGAGCCACTCAGTAACACTTCGTGGTCACATCAAACTTATTAATCCTTCGAAGTTAGTAAGAGTGACATCATTCAGTTCGCGGAAGGGTCGATGTATCTCTCACTATTTTGATCTGTACTTACATTAGGAGAAAAGAGACGTCTTTTGAAATTTTCGTCGCATTTATGCAGATTTTTCGAACGAAATGCTGTAACAGCAAAATGTTTGAGCTACCATCATGTCCAATAAAAGTCTTTCCGGTCAAAAATGGCTGAGAAATAGCAGAAATACGAAAATTTCACAAGACGCCTCTTTTTTCTTCACAGTAGTCTATAAGTTTGTTTGGGCTGAGTGAAATGAGTGCGTGCTATTTCTTACCGTCGTCTTTGAAGTGAGGATATCTCGTGGAATTTAGCAGTTACTATTGATTTGTCTTCAGAAATCCTTATGCAGGAGTTTTGGTTACAGCACAAAAAATTTCAGGATCACACATTACGGATATGTCCTCTCTCTTCATCGGGTTGCGCATCTGTACTACTACATCAATAGGTAACCGTTTTTACGATATTATGCAATATTATCTGTTTTTATCTTTCGTTTAGAAAAAATTAACGCTTTTCTTCTAATCGAAAGAAACATGCAGTAAAAGAATGTTAACCACATGTCATCCAGTTATTTTTCCATTCGACAGTGGATATAATACCAGAGTTTATCGAGAACGAACAGTTTTCTTAAACAAAGTAAGGTGCCGAAAATTCATAAGTGCAGCAGAAAAATAGATTTCCTTCAAACGTACATGATTGGATAGAGCTCGTCGAGCTGACTCCGAATATCGCATTTTTACCGAGTTGGATCACGTTTTAGGGAGAAATTTTCAAAATATCATAAGAGTCGAAAAAAGTGAGCGTTATCGAGAAAAGTCAAGATTTTACCGTTTTTCGAAACTATTTTATTCGAGTTCAACATCAAAAAGTAAGTATATATATGTAGGTTTGTCACCAGTTCATCGCTCTGATATCTGCGAGCAGGACGGACTAAGTTCGTCCAGGGACGTTTTGATACCCTGCTCTCTCAAACCTATGTAGTCTTTTGTTCCAAGAGCTATTCCCAACTATCATAAATCATTCGAATCGCCATGCGATAGTGAACAATCCTGACTGATGTATACATCTATCCTACCCGACTACTTTCATTTTTTTCGAATTTTTACGTTGACAAATTACCGAAGCTTTCACCCAAAACTGAAAATTAAGTAAAGATTTAGAAATACACGCCATTCGACTCATTTTTTGCTTCTGATTCCGAATATGATATTTTTATTGCTCAAAAGTTGAGTTCTATTGGAGAAAATTGAGAATTACGAGCAGAATTCCGACTTTTTCTCCTCTGATTTAGAAGAAGTGTTTTTTGTCAACGAGGAAGCAAAATTTTTCCAAAGTGATGCTCAGGATTGTTCTATCCAATCATGTACGTTTGAAGGATATTTTTCTGCTACACTTGTGAATTTTCAGCACCTTACAAGATAAAAAGGCAATAAGGGACGCTTTCTCTTTTTGAAATTTTAAAGTAACATAGTTTTCCGTTCGAGATATATAAAATTGTTTACAGCGAGCAGTTTAATTTTGTATGGAAGAAACTTTGCTGGCAGAATAATTGATTAACATCTAGCTCTCACAACCTTTTGTAACTGTTACGTCGGATCTTGGCGATCATGTCAATATTCGCTGATAATGACTTTTATCACAAGAAACGTTTTTGAAGACAAACCAATAGTAGATATACGATATCTCACACTTGAAGAACGATCGTGTAAAATAGTTAACATTCTTACAAGGGCTAAAAAATTCCCTCACATATTACATGATTATACAAATTCCTTCACTTATTATAAGACCAAAAGCCATTTATACTTGACATAATTCTAAATTATGTTGTACAATAGCTACTCTAATCTAACGAATGAATGTTCAAAAAAAGAAAGAAAATTATACATCCATTCGCATTTTTCACGTTTTTTCCTTCTAGATTATGTGTCGTTGGTTCGCTTATATTGGACATGAGCCAATCCTCCTGGAAGATGCTCTTGTCATGCCAAAACACGCTCTCATAAAACAGATTAACGATCACTACCTCCCCGAACTTTTGAAACATTATTCGAACCGCCGCGAAGTTATAGAGCGTAATGTTCTCCTTAATATTGATGGCTTTGGTGTTAGCTGGTACACGCATGTGCGTGAGGAGTTTGGAGAATGTGAGGGACCTCGACCAACCACGTACAAGAGCGTTCGTCCACCTCTGAACGACAGAAATTTTCGAAGTTTATGCGCAAACACCAAGACCAATGCCGTTTTTGCGCATATCAGGGCAACGAGTGGATCACCAGTAGTTGAAACGAACAATCATCCGTTCGAGTTTGGTCGGCATTTGTTTATGCACAATGGTACTGTAGCACAGTTCTCTAAGATTAGACGAAACCTACTTTTAAAGATATCCAAACAAGCGTACGAGAATGTGATGGGAACAACAGATACGGAGCACGTTGCTGCCCTATTTTTCACTCATCTCGGTGATATGTACGCTGAACATACTCTAAATGAATTCAAGCAGGCCATGTTGAAGACACTGAATGACATTATTGAATTACTAGTGGTGGAAGAGGAATCGGATGATACCGTGCAGAAAGGGGAACATGTCAATGCCAGCTCTCTCAATTTGGCTGTAACAGACGGGAAGAAGATGATGGCAATTCGCTTTCGAAATGATGTTACAGAAGATCCACCATCTTTGTACTATTCGACCACAGCCGGTGTTTCGCTTAATCGAAAATTTCCCGGTACGGCGGATCAACCCCCTTCTTCTGAAAACGGTTCACCATCCGACGTTAAAAAGATGGAAGAACATCGGGCACATGTCATAATAGCGTCGGAACCCATGACATACAATCGGGAGGACTGGCATCTGATACCAAAAAACAACATGGTGTTTGTAAATGAAGACATGCAATTATCATTAGAGAACATTCAGTTGCGAACAAACTGAATATAAGTTGAACTACAGCTTGGTACGCAACAATCCAGCTCAGAAAACACTTGAGTGCAAGGATGCTTTATCACAAGAACTGAATTTCATTCTCTTACAGTTCTTTATCCTTCGCACATTAAAAGCCATTGTTGAGCAGTTTATTTCGAGACATCCAAAGATTTTCTTCTTCCCATCGAAGTCAGATCGATAACACGAGCATATAAATAAGAATTTACTGAGGAATTTTTTCCTGTTAAATGATATTTAATTAATCTTTACTATTTTAAATATTCATCGTCGTAAAATCTGGTTTAACAACAAAGTAGTAAACAAGCGAAAGACATACCAAGTATAACTTAGCTTTTGTTCAATAAAGGTCATGATCATCCAACAGTCTTTTAACGTTTTATAGGCTTATATTCTTGAATTCATGAGTCCTATGCTGCTCATTGTCGAGAAAATTCCTGATATTTTGTCAAAAAGTCTATGAAAAAAGTTTGGAGTTTTGCAGCCTTCTTCGTAATCGGAGCTTTTCTACCTGAAGATGCAGTTCAATAGAAGAAAAAATGTGATATTCGTGATCAGCTCGACGAGATGTATCAGAATACGTATGATAAAGTCAAAAAAAAGTTTGCTTGAAGTTTGAATTACGGGCATCTTATATTCTTCTGAATCTTTCAATAGGTTTTTCGAAACGTGTCAGTTTGCATGCTAAATCCATTTCTTTTGAACTGAAAATTCAGCTTTACTTAGACTTTTGACAAATCTAAGGACAGCTAGACTGTCAATTCGATTTATTTTCTAGTTTATAAAAAATCGACTTTGGAAATCGGAAATGATTCTGGAGCGTTTATGATATCGTGAAGGATTTTATAAGAATATTGAAAATGTTTATTTTCTACTTTGTTAAGAATCAACTAGATTTTTAAGAATTTTGATTTTCAAAATAGTTCGAAAATCGTCTTGATTCTTCCAGTAATGGAAAATGTTTCCTGATTTTCTCTAAGATTGAAGAATCGATTGATTTTACAGAAAGTCCAACTGATTTTTTAAAAACAGGGTTTGATTTTCTCTAGCATAAAATTAATTTCGGAAAAATCTACTTTATTTTCTGTGAGTTTGAAAGGAACTCGCTGGCATTTTTTAGTCAAACAAGAAGATATAAAGATGGTAAGTACATGTGTGTGTAATAGACACAGAAGTTGTTTGGTTGATTCATTCCATGTCTAATTGATAAGACACCTAATAAATTCCTCTGATTAATGTCTCAGTCACATACTCTGAGGAGTTCCATCCTACATCAATACATCGTTAGTGTTTATTTCACATTTACATCGATGATGGTTTTACGATATTATGCAATATTATCTGTTTTTATCTTTCGTTTAGAAAAAAGCTACATTTATGTAACTTATGTTTCCGTACATTTACAAGCGTAATCATTTGTTGATAATTTGTGGTGTAGTCATTATATTTCGGCCATCTTACGAGAGATAGTTCTGAAATTCTTTCCCCATACAGACAATCAATATGGCTAGTTGTGCCACTAAAATGGATACTTTACCTGGCGTCCATCAGACACATTGAAAAAACTTCTGTCGATTTCAAAATATAATGGTTTCCACTGTTTTGGAATAACTTTTGAATTAAACATGTTAGAGAGCCGGGGTTTTCTGAATTTTGTAGACAACACCCTGGACATCGGTCTACGAAAAAATTTGATCAAAGCCGCCACCTATAGGGGGTGTATCTTACTCGCCTTCGTTTACGAGATTGGCACAGAAAAATGAACTTTTAATTCTCATACCATGAGTAAATAGCTTAAAGTATCCTTTACCGATCTACACAATACCGAGATCGCTATCTAACATGGTCCTAGACATATAGCAATTATGCTTGAATCTACCCATCTCAGGGGTTTTAAGTCTCGTGACCTTAAAATGACTCGAAACATAGATAATCGACTACACCGAATCTCGTAGCAGCGTTTATTTAATTGAAAAGTAAGAGAAAGAAACTGTTTCGAAATTCGCATTTAACTGCTACTGGATGAGTTAGAGAATGATAAAAGAACAGTGCATTAACAAGAGACTTCTTGAATCCAATATTAATCGAAGTTTGACAAGTGTATTAAAACCGAACAGCTTGTACCGAACTTAAATAAATCAAAAAGTTCAGACAAATCGCTTTTCCGCATACTTCCTTGCAAAAGTGGCTTCTTATTCGAAGCTCAATCTTCTTTCAAGTAGCGTAGGAGCATACTTTGTCTTTAATTTTGATAAATCCAAGAGTAAATGCGGATTCCGTATCGATTAGAGTAAAAGAGAGTGGTATTAACAATAGATAAAGTGAATATATACAGCGAATCGTCGTGCCCTTATATGACAGTTGCTATTTCGCTCAATGCCATCTGATGAGTTCTTCTAACCAAAGAACGAAACGCGTAATGGCACGGTTGATTAGAGTTTAGATAAGGATTCTCAATTAAGACACTTGGTAGACTTGGATTTATCAAACTTAAAGACAAAATATGCTCCTACGCTACTCGAAAGAAGATTGAGCTTCGAATAAGAAGCCACTTTTGCAAGGAAGTATGCGGAAAAGCGATTTGTCTGAACTTTTTGATTTATTTAAGTTCGGTACAAGCTGTTCGGTTTTAATACACTTGTCAAACTTCGATTAATATTGGATTCAAGAAGTCTTTTGTTAATGCACTGTTCTTTTATCATTCTCTAACTCATCCAGTAGCAGTTAAACGCGTGTTTCGAAACAGTTTCTTTCTCTTACTTTTCAATAAGAATTAATGGGGTTCCGGTAGAGAAGCTTTTTAAATAATCTCAGTTTTCCCTATTGAACGTTGTACAATAAAATCTCGATAAAATTGTCAATACTTGTCCAAAATAGCTAAAACTGTCAGGGCATATTGTAATCGATATGTTCGATTGGTTAAAGAAACAGAAAACCTAGAAATTTGTTACTTTATGACCTGGGATTTTCTAATATCTTCTAAAAAACCTTAATTTAAAATGAATTTCTCATTTCTTTGTCTCTCTAACCGATTTCAAATATTGATTACAATACATCTTGAAAATTTCAGCCCTGTGATGACGTGGGATTTTCAGCAAATCGTTTGTAACTTTTAACCTAAATACTTTTGAGAGCTAGGAGAGATATCACGCTCGACTTTATATATGAGCAGTTTTCCACTGATTTCAAAGAAAACTTTGGATCTCGGATTCTTGGAGGTTTTCAGGAACTGTCATTGTTCAACCTGCCAGTGCGGAAACTCATGTTTCAACGAAGCCGAACGTCCGAATTGCCCAGCTACCTTTGCAAAAGAATTTTGAGTCAAGTTCATTTTTAGGAAAAAGATTACACGCAAACGGTGCATTGCGCTTGCAATCATCTCAAATATTTATTTATGCAAGAAACAAAACTTAAACATTTTTGCTTTACATGTGACTTTTCAATCGGTTCCGATCTGGCCCGGCTGGATTGGAACCAGTTTCAACCGGTTCTTTTCAGCGCAAGAAGTGTATCTGATTTTAGCTTTTGCTTGGATATAAGCTAATTCGTTCTTTCGATGCCGAAAACAATTGATCTGATTCATCTCTCCTGTCATCCCTTTTTCTTTCGCATGATCTCTGTCTACTGGCTCTCTGTGTCTGTTTTTTCCAATGTCCAACAATCGTTTTTATCAAAAAACTGATACTGAGCGTAAGAGCCAAGCACGTGCGCGTGCTGGAGATGGTTCTCTTCATACGTTTGTAGATGGAGAAAATGTTAATAGTACGCCAGTGAATACTTCAAATACATATTATGATTTACAACAACAACAACATGCGTCAACGATAGATCTATTATCTCCATCTCAGAATGATATTTATGATGAACAACAAAACGATTCAAGTGATGATGATACGCATGATGATGATCTACAGGAATTATCTAATGTATTAGACGTTAACCGTGAAAAAAAATTTGTATTCATCATGTAAAAAGTGGAAAGTGATTGATATTGAAAAACGAATAACTTTTTTATGCAAACAGATTTCACATCGAGATTAGACAGACAAGGAGTGAAGATTCACAAAACTACTAACTAGGATATAGGAGTATAAAATAGCGTTTACAATAAATGCTATTCAAGTGCTCCTTTGTCTTAATTTTGCAATTCTTTAGAGTAAAAAACTCTGTTTCTCAAAATCTCAGACTTAAACTAATCGACGAAGCCGAAGAACGCCTCTTTTAGTTTGTTATGTTCTCACTTTTGAAAGAAACATTACTCAGCAGCAACTCCTTGTTTTTGGCCGGAAACTATAAATTTAAAAGTGCCTTACCGATATTTTTCTTTGAAAAAACCAAGAAAAGATGCGTGCATGAGAAAAACTAAAAGCCGTTCTCCGAAAGGCTTCGATCCACGACTTTTCGATCATCTCAAAGTTTAGTTACTGAAAAACACTGTCCTATCCAGAGGTGCTTTCTCCTTCTTGGTTTTTCTACGATCAGAAAGATTTCCTATTTACTTTGATACTTGTTTGTAATGCTGCTTCGCGTAGAAAATTCGTATTTTCAAGAGAAAATATGTTTTTGTTTCTAAATCGTGCTTGTTCGTCTCCGCATAAAACTGCAAAGACACTTAAGTTTTTAAGTCTTGAAAACGTTTGCTAATGAAAATATGAACTTTTTACTAGAAGCATTACAAACAAGTATCAGAATTGAAAAAAATGTCTGTTTTGTACATCGTTTTCTTTTCTCCTATCTTTGGTTTAAAATTCTAACGTATATGTGTATTGAAAGAGGACAAAAACTGTACAAAATACGCTCGTTGAGTCAAATTGAAACTACAAAAAATTAAAGAATCCAACTGTATGATCAATTCTGTTGGACAAAGAAAGTTGTCCATATCACTCTTCCTGGCCTTATATGATGACTATATGATATAAGCTTTTCAATCATATCATTGGATAGCCCCTTCAGTTCTCCACAAAATGAGATGCTCACCAGGTTTTTACGATCTTGAACGACGCCGAGTTACAGTCTTTTTAACATTACGAATATAAATTCATTTGCTTTCGATGTGCATCGTATTTTCTATGGTACTTTTTGACACAATATCGTAGAAACTTGGCCAACATCTCATTTTGTGGAGAATTGAAGGGGCTAAATGATATGGTTGAAAAACTTCTGAAAGAACTTTTAAGATTACTAGGTATTATACTAAACTAGTACCCGTACCAAAATATAATGCAGGTTGCCGTTTCTTTAATAACTCGAAGATGATGATAGATAGAGAGTTGCGGTCTTCACTAATGGAAAGAGGACTATTTTCCCAATCTTTCTGGGGAAATTTCGAAAATAGGTTTTTCAGCGGATCTTTGGAAAACATCTTCATATCTCTGGAACCTCACGTAATGATATACCGATTTTTTTCATAGATATATAGCCCAACATGTCTTCTAAATGTTTGGATCTAAGTGACTTCTTACTTTTGCTTGGTTCGGCCTAGAAAGCCGGATTTCCGAGGACACACCTATCTCCTAACCTTAAGGTTTGGGAAACTCAAAAACACATAGGAACATAGGTTATCGACTACGCTGAACATCATGGCGATGTTTATTTCCTTCCGAAAGCAAAATTTGTCTCTCTGTTAGTGTACCAACATCCTTATAATGTATGTCTACCGCACAAAATCACACTTTTATTCATTCTGACACGTTCTTTGTAACAGAAAACAAGAATAGAAGTAGAAATAGTTATTTATAAACAAAATCAAATCAGGTCAATCACTGTTTGGA